AGAAAGGGATACCTAGGAAGTACAACGCACTGTCCATACCTAAGGCACTGGAGACTGCCAAGCAAAATCTCACAGCTTGGCCACCCGCCTAAAGAGATACACAAGTGAAGAAGACGCCAGAAGAATAAATAGGATGTTCTCCACTGAACCATCCAAAGTGTACTCTCACTGGCACGGTAACAACACTGCTAGACCAGGCAGACCAACCTGTGCACCGCCTGGATTGACTACAAGAAAGCCTACAGCTCAGTGCCACACACATGTATACTGGAATGCTTTGGAGTGTACAAGTTGCCATCAAGTGCTGCATATACCGAGGTGATGCACTATCCTCGCTACTGTTCTGCATAGGCCTAAAAGAGGAGGAAGAACCATCTTGGAAGGATAAGCCTTTCCCAGGCATGTACCAGATTGAAGAAGTGGCCAACATCAAGAATTCCCACCAGTGGCGGTAAAAGGCTGGACTGAAAGACAGCACAGAAGTACTAATCATGGCAGCACAGGAGCAGGCATTTAGTACAAGATCAATAGAAGCAGGGGTCTACCACATCAGACAGTACCCCAAGTGCAGGCTGTGCAAAGATGCTCCTGAAACAGTTGAGCACATAGTAGCAGGGTGTAAGATGCAGACAGGAACAGCGTACATGGAATGTCATAACCAAGTGGCTGGCATAGCGTACAAGAACATCTGCACTTAGTATGAGCTGAAAGAATCGAGAATTACCAAGCTAAGATCATGCGGGACTTCCAGATCCAGACTGACAAACTGGTGATGGCTAACCAACCAGACATAGTGTTGATCGACAAACAACAGAAGACTGCAGTGGTGATAGATGTAGCAATCCCAAGGGACAGCAACATCAGGAAGAAGGAACAGGAGAAGCTGGAAAAATACCAAGGGCTGAAAGAGGAGCTAAAAAAGATGTGGGAAGTAAAGACAGCAGTGATTCCAGTGGTAACAGAAGCCCTCAAACTCCAAGGCCCCTGGTAGAGGACCCCAGCTTGAGGAAGTCACACCACACTACCACACCACACTACCACCCCCATCGGAGGCTGGGGGGATTTTTACAATATACCTTTCGTTCTACCATTTACACACTCACCCATTGGGGATCAGTGCCTTACTCAAAGACTCTTTGGCTTGTGGACAGGACAATCTGTGGCAATTGATGAAAGCAGTGAAACAAAGTGCAGCAAAAATAAAACAATGATCTAAAAGACACTGAAAGCTCCATAGAGCAACACAGTTCTGTGTTAAAGGTGGACTCTACGATTATGTAGAAAGATTGTTGATATTTGAACTCAGCACCCAAACAAACACACCCCTCCCGTCAGTGCTCTTTCAGAAACTCTAGTAACATCTGCCATGTTATTTACATTACGTTACTATCATTGCATCGGTCCGCTCCTCATGGGTGGGGACGTGGAAGAGGGAGAGTAGTATTTAATTGTATCCAGTTACAGAGTCAGGGATGTGTATGAACACCAGATATTTTCAGTGCACACACAGACAGCGAGCGAAAGGTGAGGGTGTATTCCCTGATCTTGATAAAAAAAAGTTTATTGTGTTATACTTGCTGACTGCACCTTTAATAGTCTATGATGTCTACTCAAGAAACATTTTACACATTAGACATAGCCCTTTGTTTTAGTGCTTTGTTTGGTTATTCACAGTGTAATGTTTAGCACCTTAAGTTGCACTAAAACCTGTTATGTAATGATGGTCAGATCATGATGATTGGTAATGATGGCCAATCAGAATATTCCTGCCTTCAGAGCAGCTCAGTTCATATCAAGGGGGTGGCAATAGCTCAGTCCATAAGGACTTGGCTTGGGAACAGGAGGATCGCCATTGCTGGTTCAAGTCCCTGTGCGTACCAAGTATAGAGTGTGGACTGGCTGCTGGAGGGGTGCCAGCTTCTGTACTACCGAGGTGCCCTTGAGCATGGCACCAAACCACCAACTGCTCGGGGATCCTGTCCATGGGCAGCCCCCTTGCTCTGACATCTCTCCATTTGCTGCGTTCTGTTTTCCCCCAATAGAGGGAAAAAAATTGAATTTCCCCATGGGGATTAATAACTGCGATTCTTCTTCCTCTTCTTACTCTTTTTCTCAATCTTCTTCCTCTCCTTCTTCTTCTTCCTCTAAATTAAACTTAATTTACCTATTTCACATTGTTGTGGTAGCTGTTCTGAGTAATTCAATAGGCTGTTACTTAATAGTTATGATGATGATTATTGTTTTTTTTTTGTTTTTGTTTTTTACCAGTAAACCAGTTCCCGTAGCATTATTTCTCACAAAGGAGAAGAAGGAAGCTGATCAACATGGGATCGATACACTCGGAATCTGAAATCCTACAAATTCTGGTCAAATTCTGCACAGCAGAGAAATACATTCTCCTGTAGCTTTCACTCAGAGTGATTGCAGCACTATCTTCTTTTGTCCACAAAGATCCTGCCACTCCAGCAGAAAATGGTTGTCGTGTGGGGGTACAAAATGAACCAAATATGAATGATGAAGTCAAAACACAAGCCGGGCCTCAGCCCTTCCCCTTTATTTATTTTACAAATATATCTGGGAGACAGAGACAGAGCTTGTCTGATGCTGGGGCTCCACTGATCTGTAGCCACAGCACACTTGCAAAACAAATTCGTGCCTGAGACAAACAGCAGATAGGCCATATTTCTTGGCCCCAGTGACAGAGGGCCCAGCTCAGCAGGGGCCTCTTGCTCCAGTCAGCCCAGCTTGTTTTCTGGCCTGTGCTCCTTAATAGTTGGATGAGCAGATATAGGCTAATTGAGAACCTTGAAGTGACGCTGGCAGGTCAGGGGTTAAACAGATTGATAGCTAGAACCTGTCACCCGGTATGCACCTTCTGCTGAGCAAACAGTCTGATGGCAGAGATGTGCTGTGCAAGTTTTTCCAGAGGTGGGGCAACTTTGACAGGGGCATAGGTTCACTTAGCTTACTAATCTTGGCATTAAATTGTTATAAAGTTGCTGTATACCATAATTTACTACCAAATCATATAATTAAAGTTCTGAATGTTGAAAGTGTAGCAATGACTGGTGACTGGCAGGACATTATTGTATTTAAATGTACATTTATTTAAATAGATTAAATCAGTAGCAATGGAATTGGATTAAATACACAGTAAACCTCAATTTGCTCACTCATCTTATTTTGTTTGGAAACAGCTTGCACTGAAAAATTTGGGTTTAGTACAATACAGTAACATAAAAGTTTCAAGTACACCAGACTCAAAGAAAATGTGTCACTTGACCCTTGTCTGTCTTGTCTTTCAGTTTAGCATCACTTCTTTTGTTGTTGGAGCATTTAATTCTATGTCATGAACATAAAAACATTGAGTACACATTTTTACAACCATTTTTTAATTTCATTGAGCTATAAAAAATATATGTTAAGTGCACAATGACAGTGTTGTTAATTGGCCTTGAACTAATTAGGCTGAATTGACTGTATACATTTAGTCAAATTAACTAATAACTCAAAAATTGTTGACATAGCCTAACTTAAAAAAAGTTAAGCTCACAAGGGATAAGTTTTTGTGTCAAGTGAGCATAAAGTTTTTATGTTATTTTGACAATCCGGGACATCTGTGTCGACTTTAAGTGAGTAACCTGACTGCACTCAACTAACACTTGTGATTACTGGTAATGCCACATGATTTTGGATTTGCCTCTTATTTTTATAGTACATTTAGATTTTATATTTGCACTCTTTCCTACAACTGCTGCACAGCAATTTCCCTTGGGATACATTATATCTTATCTTATCTTATCTTATCTTATCTTATCTTATCTTATCTTATCTTATCTTAATTTATCTTATCTTTTCGGCTTTGTATTTTATTGTCTTTTTGCTTTTTCTGTTTTTAACAAGGCATGTGTCACATGAGACATGCCTTGGAAGGAAAGCCAAATGAACATAGGACTCAACCTCCTCAAGGACAGTCAGGGCTCTGGAAAATGTTATCAAGAGTGATCATCCTAAGATCCAGAGGAAGAGGAGCATGCAGATACAGAAACCTTCACTTTACTGCAGAAACTGAACCCAGCTGACAGTCCAGAGAGCAACAGTAATCAAAGACAGTGAATGAATGTGAATGTTTAATGTTGACTTGAGTCATCTATGTGTTTCCTGTCTTTAAACCTGTACAGTGGTCTAATAGCTGAGAACGCTCAGCTTTGTCCGTGTTTCCACACAGTGACCCTCAGCAGCCACCCACTACTTCCTGCCTCAGCTAACAATAGATAGTTTGACTTTCCATAGCGCTTACTAAGCAAAATGTGTCAGGGTCAATTAATATTAATGCCAATGTATTTCATTTTGCTGAAACATATGTGCTAGGACTACTCAGCATGTGTACAGTCAGCCAATGCGGATAAATATAGAAATCTGCAGAATGAACATTGTTCCAACAGCCAGTGTAAAAATAAACTGACAAGCAGTAAATATATCTATATGATTTTGTGCAAAAAATTTATCTTTAGTGTTTTGAGTTTTTTACCAAACAAACAAAATGTCAGAGGCCTAATTAGCATACTATACCGAATATATTTCTATCAGTGCTATTAGTAAGAATGATACCAACAGTAATAATTATAATTATAATGATTTACAATATTTTAATACAACCGCATTTTCTGGTAGCCTATACACTGTAGAACTTATTACCGTTTATGAACTATCTGTGTTCTGTCAGCTTACAGTCATCGCGAAATATAAGAAGTCATTTGATCGGGATTTTTTGAAAATGTAATATTCTTCAAGACCTTTTGAATCTTTTAACCCTCCTTCTGTGTCTGCATAAGTGTGACTCCTCCATCAGCACCGCTCTGCTCTCCAGTCCAGGCATTTTCACGGAGGAGGCAGCGATCATGTGACTCGGAGTCCACCAATGGCATCGCGGCAGTCTAACTTTTGTGATAAGGAAAACGCAGTAAGGAGCAAGCGGACTGAAGGAGTTTCACTCTGAGATCTTCAATGGTCTGCATCACACACTGGCCCTACTGGCTCTCAAAGCAGCACTATCACAAACAGTGACCATCAGGATTGTATTGGTCTTTCTTCATTTTGTTCTCCTCAGCAGCCCAAGCAAGGCTGCAGCAACACCTAAACCAAGGTTTCAATTATCAGACAATCATCACTGACTGGCTGCTGTCTGCTGTTCAAATGTTGGGAGACAAGGCTCACGGTAAGTCTGTCTACTATTTTACAAACTGTGCTCTGCACTCGCTGCTTCTATCTGATAGATAAGCTTATGACTTAAAGCAATTTAAACCCAACAAAGTCAGGTAAATGTTGAAACAACGGCCCAGTGGCCTGAACCCGCATATAACATATAAGTATATATAACTCCAGGGCATCCATCCCTAACCTGCTGTTTAATTTTTTAGGTTAATAATAGTCTGAAACAGACATCATAACATGTTTTATATCCAAACACCGTTTAAGCCCAATTATAAAATTGCAATTAACTGAAGCTACAGCCCAACCAAAGCAGAGTGGCACTTTTTGAGGTACCTGAAAAAATAAATAAATAAATAAAATAAAAAGTAAAATATTCCATAGATAACAATTTACAAAAAATGAAATAGAAAATAATCCAATAGAATATAGCCTACATAATAATTAGCACCCTGGTGACAACTGAAAATGCTACGACTTTGCATACTACACAATCTCTTGAAATCCTAATGATGTAGTTAAGTACCAGCAAAATAAAAGAAATAAAAGGTTCGTCGTTTAAAAATGTAAAAAACGCGTATAAATACTACTACTTCTACTACAATAGGCTAATAATAATAATAGCTAATTATAATAATATTAATAATGATAATAATAGTAATAATACTATTAAGAATGACTCAGTGTTAATATGTAATAATAATAATGATAATAATAATAATCGTTTAATACTTGGTGTCTGTCTTGTGATGCCTGTGGTGCTGATGGCGCGGGGCACCACACGAGACCCCTTGTATAGTGTGCGTGCCCCCCGGGCCGTTTCACTGGACTCATGACGCTTCTATTTCGCGGCCAATACATCTGACGCTGATTGTTCACGTCGTCCCTGTTCGTTAATGACTTTGAATCAACTCAATTTTTTTTTTTAATCATGGCGCGTTGTTCGGCAGCAGTTTAATATTAGGGTATATTTCACTCGACGGAGGCTATTTGACCGCTCCGTCAACGGGACACCGAACCAAACGAGATGAGGAAGGGTTTGCTGATGCTTTTTCTTGTCACCATATTGTAGGGCTGTATAGGATGAGTGAGTGATGAATTCAACTTTATAGACTTACTGAAAAGACTTACAGAAAAAGGCTTCATCACCTGCAGGTGGGTGTCCGTAGCTACGGGGTCTAATAGGCAACATCCACTCTTCCTCACAGTGTGGGCCGGTCGCTGAGAGTCTACAAATAAAATCTCTGAACAAGTTACATGCACGTGCTAATGCAGAAGATCCAGATAAGGCTAAAACCATAGAGTCACTTTAGCCGTATTTTACTGTGGAAAACAGTTTTTCCACCATAATATAAAACCAGTCAGAAGTGCGTATTTGAAGCGGTGTCAGACTGATAGAATTAAAAAAAAGGGTCATAAAAATCACTAGGCTACTATTATTAGTGATATATTATTGTTTATTAGTTGAATAAACGAGTGGAGAACATAGGCTACAGTAGACCTACATTATACAGCATCGTTTTGACGATGAATGCGCAAATATTGCTAATGTAAGTTGTACAAGTGAGGGAATTAAAAAAGGACCACCTTCATATTGTAGGCCTACACAGAAACTATCCCACATCAACACAAATAATGCACATTATAACTGTTACATTTATTTAGATTATTTATGCGTATGTAGGCTTATAATATAATTATTATAATAATTATGTTCGACTAAATAAATATACAGATAAATAAATCGCCTTTGCCTAAAAAGGTTTAGGGCATTTTGAAATAAATATCAGCTAATTTATAAAACATTTTCTTATTTTTTACTTACTTTTTTACTTTACTTTTGCCTTTATTCTTTTTTATGTCAGAGTGAATTGCATTAAATCTGAAGAACAACTGGTAACACTGAAGTTGCTGCATTCAGAAAGAAGAATAAATGTCATCATAGTTTAAAGATGAAGAAAAACGGGCGGAACATTATTGTGTTTGCGTAACTGAAGAACATTCAGGCACCCCAGTTCCTTCAGACTGAAACTGAGGACCTGAAATAGTCTGAGCTGATTACTTTGGGGGAATTTAGGTCGATTTTAAAGGATCGAGAAAATAGCACAATGTGATTTCTACTCAATACAGTTTCATTTATAAAGCCCAATATCACAAATCAGAATTTGCCTCAGAGGGCTTTACAGCATATACCACATCCCTCTGTCCTTGAACCCTCACACGGCATATTCCCAACCTGTTGTTTAAAAATTTCTTCAGGGTTGTTGTCGACTTACCTCCCCAAGTTTGTAGGCTATCATAGAAATAGAAAAGGAGAAAGGACATTGGCCTATTTGCTGTGGTTATTAATTTGTTACTGAAATTATCTGAAATTTTTTTAGTAAATTGTACATTTATGTATGTAACTTTTTGTATTGTATTTTAAACGGATGTTGTAGCTGCTCTTTGTGGTGTGTAACAGTTGGAACTTGTGTTTATAGCTGTAACAATGCGCTTCTCACTTGGCCAGGTTGCTTGTGAAAAGGGGATATTACATCTCAATGTGACTTTTACCTGGTTAAATAAATAAGATTTTTGATGTCAGACATTTGAAACACGATCAGATTAAATGGCGTCCTTACTGTTGGTCTCGTGCAGTTTTTCTTTGTAGAAAATATGAATATATAAATGTGTGTGTGTGTGTGTGTGTGTGTGTGTGTGTGTGCACGTGTGTCTGTACCAGGTGTCACTTTGAAGGTTATGGAATACACGTATGATGATGACCTGGAAGAGCTGTGTCCTGTGTGTGGAGACAAAGTATCCGGATATCACTACGGTCTGCTCACTTGCGAGAGCTGCAAGGTAACAACACACTCAACCTTTAACTGAAAGAAAACCTTCAACACCAAAACCTGTTACGGATGTTGTCAGTATGGTCGATATAATAAAGTAGGCCTATCACACCTGTTCAACGCGACTTTTTACTCTTGATTAAAAAAAAACTGGCGTTTAAACGGTAGGCTATTGTCGACATTTTTAAATGTATTTTTCTCCATTAGGCCTACTCATAATTTTAATGTAAAATTAATAAGACACAATATTATGGAGTATTAATTCGACCTTTGCAAAAGAAATACTGGAAAGCAGCCATTGTTCTGCCGCGACGTTTTATTTCGTTTTATTTCCTTAAAAATGTTGAATATCATCAACTCGCTGTCTCCACCGCTGTTTCCAACGCGTCTCTGTTTTTCAGGGCTTCTTCAAGAGGACAGTGCAGAACAACAAGAGGTACACATGTGCGGAAAACCAGGAGTGTAAAATAGACAAAACCCAGAGGAAGAGATGTCCTTTCTGTCGCTTCCAGAAGTGCCTCAACGTCGGAATGCGGCTCGAAGGTACACTTTACAACTCCATACAATTAGTCCGTCTTTTTATTACAACAATAATAATAATAATAATAATAATAATAATAATAATAATGATAATAGCCTATTTATGCTATTATTGGGGGAAAATATAATCTCATTATGTATTTCATGGTACTTTAATTCCAACAGTAATTCCAATAATGCAACTGTAGGCACATATTGTTATCATATATTACTGCAGTAAAAACCCCTGAAATATTTCTTGATTTGTAGGCTGGTGGCTCTGATGTTGTTTCCTATACACATGGGATGGGGTTAATTCCCAGACAGCAATGCAAGAAAGCACCTGCTTCCGCAGCAGAAAAAAGGACACATTCTTGACTTACTGATAAAACTCCAGAGACTCCCCTGTTTTAAATCAAAAGCTCTATTTAGACTACAAGAAGGAGTGGAGCTTCACAGGCTCTGGGGATTCTTCTCAGCCCTAAAAAGGGAAGTAGAAATGACCAACATGCCTGTTATTTACTCTGTATAGGGATAGTTAGAGATATTGGTGAAATGCAAGTTGTGACTTTTCTCTCTGCTGTTACGCACTGCAAATTATTTTCACGAAGTTACAATATGTAACGGTAATATTTCACAATAAGTTGCAATATTATTACATCAGAGGCTTTTACTTTGATATTTAACCAAATTTAGAATTGTATTGAGAACTTTATGCAGGCAAATATAATAATTTACAGAAGCACACTGCTAAATCACAGTAATATAAGGAGTTTATCTGTGCAATTTCAGTAAAATACAGTAATTATACAAGATATTAGATATAGATATAGATATAGATATAGATATTGCTAAATCACAGTAATTAAACCAATCAATTTTAATCAATCAAAATGTACATAGTTGAATTCAGTAATTTACAGGTACATACTGTTATATCACAGTAAAGTAATGGTCTTTAACTGTGAGGTTACAGTTAAAAATAGTCATATTGCAGGAGCACGCTAAATCACAATAATATGCAGGCACAACTACTGTGAGATCACAGTATACAGCTGTCATTTCACAACAATTTACTGTAAAAATTATACAGTAATTTACTGTGAAAGTAATGCAACTAGTAGCCAGTAATTTGCTGTAAATGTACAATGGAATATTTTACAGTGCAGATCAGTCTTCATTAAGGAGTTTTTCAAAGTGGATGTTGGCAGTGGAGAATTCAATAGAGTCTGTGTTCCATGTGTAAATCTGTTTTTCACCTCTTGTGTCTTGTGTGACAGCGGTGCGTGCAGACCGCATGCGTGGGGGGAGGAATAAATTTGGCCCCATGTATAAGAGAGACAGGGCCTTGAAGCAGCAGAAGAAGGCTTTGATACGATCCAACGGGTTCAAGCTGGAAAGTGCAGCTCCTCCGCCAGCCTCTCCTCTGCAGACTGACTACGGCTTCACCGGTACCGTGCACAGTCTGCCCACCATCTCCAAAAGTCTGCTTCCCTCCACCCCGAGCTCCATCACCCCTACAGACTACGAGGCCAACCTCTACGGACCCCCATCTCTGGGCATATCCATGCAGTCCCACATGCCCCTTACCACTCAGTACCAGTACACAGCCTTCCCAAGCAGGGCAATCAAAGCTGAATGTCCCGACTACACCAGCTCCCCTGAGTCACTGACAGGATACCCATACCCAGACATGTACCCCTCAGCCTCGCCACAGCCGCCTAGCCTGCCGCCGCTGGTGTTGGAGCTGCTGCGCTGCGATCCAGATGAGGTGGTGGTGCAGAATAAGATTGTTGCTCATCTGCAGCAGGAGCAGGGTGGGCGCGGGCGGCTGGACAAGCCCAGCACCTTCAGCCTCATGTGTCGCATGGCAGACCAGACTCTCTTCTCCATAGTTGAGTGGGCTCGGAGCTGTATCTTCTTCAAGGAGCTCAGGGTGAGTCCCAAGTCCTTTATCCTATCCTCATGCTCACACAGTTACACATGCACACACTCATAACGGTGGAAGATAATGTCACATTTCACAGCTGCACTCCAATATTTCTTTAATATAAAACTCCACCTTAGAGCTGTCTATTACACAACATAGCTATGGCTTGTCTACCATCCATTTATCATGTTTTATACATACTCCTCAAAATTCATTAATGTGTTTGTATTATATCCTACAGAAAGCTGCCATCTTGTTTTTGTGGCGCTACAACAAAATTCTGTCTTTGTCAAATAACAATAAAATTGCTGCCACTTCCGAAATCTGAATTCTCGTGTGTGTACCAACATCCACGCCCATCAAAAAAGAATCATTTACTCATTTATGCTGCACTTCACAAAGAAGATAGAGAGGGAAAAAACGACAAATGGATGAAACGTTGCATGGAAAGATGAAAGCAACACAGACTCTGCAGGGAAATGTCAGCTGAGCTGTGGCTCTGCACTAATTCTAAAATAATCTTCTCTTATCTTACAGCTCACACATTCTGTTTGTTTTGTTCCAGTTGTTATACACTTTTGCTTTCTTTTTTTTCTCTTACTCATCATACAGAGACATGAATGGTCCTGATTTCAGTCATAAAAATAACAATAAATTTTTAAAAAATAAAATAAATCAACTGCTTCAGAAGGCAAAACACTGGAATGCTCAAATGCCTCATTCTGTTTTTCTCATCCAGCCAGTATAAACTGCTCTGATTAGTTGTGATGTTTGTATCACAACTCTAATTGGCCTGACAATCATAACATGTGTTCAGTAGCATTGTTAGGTCTGGGCATTCCAGATCTAATAATGCTACTGGACCCCAGTATTGAATATGAATAGCCTCCGGTATTTTATGAATAGGCCCCGATCTAAATGCATATATACGCTATATGCACACTGTAAATTATTTCGCTGTAAAATAATGGTAAAGAGCTGGCAGCACAGATGACCTTGCAATTGTTTATTATAAAACGGAAATATAGTATATTTCTGTATTTCAACAATATATAGTAAAATACTGTAATTTTACAGTATCCATACTGTTTATTGTTTTCACAGTCTATTACCGTAAAAATTAAACACAGCATATTTCTGTGATTATTTGGATTTTCAGTAACCTTAGAGCTTTATTATTCTGTGGCTGTTTAAAATATGCATGTCTATGAAAATTATGCGTGATAAGCAATAAAAACTCAGATAAAAAAAACAACTCAAGATCAAAATTGAATAGGCCTACATTTATTTAAAAGGGCAGTGTCAACATGAATACTGCTACTGTCCTGATGGACGACCAGGAGAAATTAGCCCAAACAAAAACAGCCTACAAGTGTCTGCTTTGAACTATGGCAGTAAACTAAAATGTTGAACTGGGCTTGTCAGAGATTTCCCCCAGCCCTTACCAAACCTGACAACAAATGAGATTTGAGCCTCATCCATACTTGATTTTTGGGCCAATGTCAATATTAGGAAGTAAAACATTCCATTATCAATATATCAGTATATATTACTGAGGATGTTGTTCCTCAGATGAAGACAATTATATTAACGTTACCAAAATAAATCAACAAAAAAATGCCCATAAAATATAAGCTCACTGTTTGAGCTATTCAAATCTCCATCTCACTGATAGATGACATTTTAAAACTAGCTAGACAGCCCATTGAGCATCAGTTTGATATGAAACATTCTTGGCAATATGAACAAGATATTAGCAAAGAAAATATGACTTAAATTAATTTTCTACCTTGTAGATGCAAGACCCAACTGATGTTGATGAAGCAGGACTTGTTGATGTGAAGTACATGTCCTGCAAACTGTGCAGTTTCTGAAGTCCCTTCAGGAGCTGATAACAAATTATGTCCATCTATTTTTCTTAAAGTAAATTGACAGTGAAACAAAAAGCACTGGCCTAATGTTAGAGTGAAAAAACTCATGTTTTATCAAACTTCTGACCACTATAAATATTATGATATCTTTGATCAAAAACGCAAGTTTGGGGTTCTTGGTATCATGTCATGTCAAAATTAAAAGCTGCTGCAAATTAACATTCAAGTCAGCCTTTATTGTAATGTTTTTTTTTAAATTTTATTTCATTGTAATTATTGTAATGTCCTGTCTCATTTAATGTCTCATTTGTATAAATATGTGACACTTAAATGAAACAACCAATACAGCAAGATAGTACAAGTCATAACTAATGCAAATAACACTACTTATGAAAAGCTGGTTTCTACATGTTAATGACAACAGCTGATGTTCTGTTTGCCATCATGTATGTCCCAAAAAAGTTCATCCATTAATAATCACAGGCTATTGCAAGGACATGTTATCCTGTTCATCCTTTATTCCTATTTTCTATTTCCTATCTATATTCTTTCTCCTATATTAAATTTTAATAGCACTAAAATAGCAGGAACATGGTTACATAACATTTGCTTTGCTAAAAGGGAACAAGAGAGGTTGTTTTTAAGATGAGACTTGTTTTAGTTCTATATTAGTATAGTCCACGGACCTACATGCCTTTTCAGTAGAAAAAAAAATACATGAATGCATTCACAGTTGATGAAGTTGACTCATACACCCACGATTCACTCACAGTTCACTTGCAGTTCACTCAGAATGGACGTGACCTTACTTTAGGAGCACAAACCGTAGTTAGGAGCTGCGATTTTTGTATGTTATGAAAATCGAGTTGCAGAGACTAGAAACTTGCTTGACGTACTTATTGTAAATATTATATGCAGTTTGGTATTTGTCAGACTTAAAGGAGCTCTATACAATATTCAGAATACATTAATATTGTAGCAAACAACTATTCCTATTTCAAGAAATACTGTAGTTATGGCGTCCTGAGCAGAGAATGAAGTCATGCTCCCTCTGTGTGTGTTGTAATCTGCGCTTCTCTTTGGGTTCAGGGGCGCAAATATAGACAGTGCAGACAGTGCGGTTGCACTGGGGACCATGGGGTGGAGGGGCACGACTGCCACCTGGAAATACGCCTGTGTTCAAAGAAGAACTCACATTTAAACAAAAATGGTGCTATTTTCCATACATGCCCTAAATAAGGCAACCCATCTCCATCATGGTTTTCTGGTTGTGTAAAACAGTGTCTAAAAAAGTATCAAGTTAAAGTAATAATTTCCTATTTTCTTTTGTAGATTTGTCTTATACAGATATGTAATAATGATTGCTGTGTAATATGTATGTTAATGTGTCCAATATCAAGTATCTGCAAGTGGATGTAACGTAAAAGTGGCAGTAAGACACACTGTTGCTAAAATATATGTATACACCTAAAACTGTGTGTGTGTATGTGTGTGTGTGTGTGTGTGCTTCATAACTTGTAACGCAATAGGGCCCCTCATAATAGCGTGCACTGTGCCACTGTGTGGGATGTTGTGGTCGGCGGTTCGGATGCATGTTAGCGCATGTGAATCCCTGTGCGTGTATCCCATTGGCTAGCTCCTTACTGCTTCTCTGCACTGTGCTCATACGGTGGTTACAGCTGCTATTGGGACAGCGTCATTGCAGAAGCACAGCGCCCACCCTCCAGCTCCCTTACTGGTTAACACCATTAGCTCTGTCAGCACTTTTGCAGTTTTAGCACTGTTCAGGCTGTTAGCACTGTTAGCTGCTAGCCACCAGCTCCATGTTGAGAGCTGTGTGCAAACAACCACTGAATCATAGTTATGCTGTGAATATCATATAGAGTAGTGGTTCCCAAACTTTTTTTTTTAAGGGACCCTTTTTCTATCATCAACTAAACAGGATCATACAAGCTACGACCTCCTGCACCTGTCCGCTGGAGATGTTTTTTTAAAGGGTTAAGGGTAAATAAGATGCCAGATTGCATAAAAAAGTAGACAGAAGAAATAATTTCATGGGTAGGATCCTCCCAGACCCCTCTACAGAGGTCTGGGCTAAGCCCCCAATGTCCTCATGTCCTCAAATCCTAGAAACGTCCCCGTGCTCCAGCATGTCATATAAACACATAAACACATGCTGTGTTTAATGGAAATGTATTCATGGCAACTGTAAGAGATAATGCAGCATCATCTTTAATGTAATGATGTCACAGTTCTAAGAATATAAAGTCATAGCAATGAGTAATGAGTACTGCGATGGAATACTTTAAGCCTTGTACGGGCAGTTATTCCCTGCTGTTTTTTCCTTAGTGCTGAAGTGTTGCTGTCCACACACACAAACACACCTCTGGAAATAAAGACTGGACATCAGTGTTCCACTCCATCATCTCCAGCACTGATTGTCTTTGTGAGCTGTGTCACAGATACACAGTAGTACTGGGCAGTTTTGATGATTTAATAACACAATCAAACTGAAGTCCTGTGCTGGGGAAATTAATACTGTTGTTGTGGTTAACTGTGCTGCACTACTACTCTTCCAAGTAAAAACAGATTAGAATTATTTCTGACGTATCAGACAGGTTACACAACAGTGAAGGAAATATTCTCTTTCCCTGTAAGTATGATATAATGTGCTAACAAACAAACATCTGTCGACAAGCCATGGTCAAACTGATTCAAGCAATTAAATAGTTTAACAAAAGGTTGATTCTGGCCTTGGTGAGATTTGGTGAGATTCCTACCTGTCTTTTGATCAAATTGAGTTTATTCAGCTACAGTCAGAGCAGGACTACTTTCCAGCTCCACATTCATTCCCATTTTCATTTCCCCTTGCTTCTTTTCTGGGACTGTCACAGGTATGGACATGTGGTCTTCTGCTGGTTATCTGGTTAATATAAATGCCCATATGTTTATGACAACATTTTGGCAGGACTCTTCACAACTGGAACATCTACTTAGCTAGAAACCAGTCGAAGCGAACCTAATCAACCTAACCCAATTTCATATTCCTGAAATGTGTGTAAAGCTTCCTGTGCTTTCTTACTGTTTTGATTCTTGCTCTAAAAAGACAAAAGAGTAAAGCAAATGTGTCTTTGT